CGTTTACCACCAAAGTATACAATATTTGTGCCTTTCGAGGTGTATGGTTTATATATATATATATATATATATATATATATATATATATATATATATGCTGCCTTTGTCACAGACATTGCTGGAAGTCATGTTTTGTGGTTTAGGAATTTTCTTCTATTTCGATTTTATTACAGTAAGGTATTTGTATAGGTATAATTGTACTCAGGAAATACAAATGAGGATCAAGATTGAGAGAATGTTGACAAAGTTAGGTACACTAACCCTAACCGCCATAACTATCTGGCTGCTTGGCTAGATAGTAAAATTCCTTACCTACCTCACAATATGCTGATTTAAATTTTGCGATAAACAACATGCTAGAAGGACTATAGAGATGTATTTATTGCTTTGAAAATACTTCAAAGGTTATTCAACCTTATATAATTATTCTGAGTGAATAAATTATAGGAAGCAAGCCAAAAATGTGACCTTTACTCCCAGTTTAATTCTTTGAGATAGCTGATATTAGAGATATGCTGTTAGAGAGTTGAGGGGTTGTAGGAATTTTTAGACATGGCTGGGTGGGATATTCTAGGATATTCAAGAAAACTTCACTAGTGTTGGAAATTACACTATGCAAATGACTGAACCTGGGAAATAGAAAATTTTACACCTCAACATAAAGGAAGAGGAGAGTGTTTTCTGTGTAAACTGTCCTCTCAGAGATTCTTGAAAAACAAGTAGCCAACTCTTTTTGCCATAATTTATGTAATAAAAATTTGCAAAATCGATCTGTAATCACTAGTCTTAAGATCAGGACTATTTACGTAAACAACTCTGACCAGATACTTAAATATATGGATAGTAACGGGGTAACAGGTCTGTTGTTAACAGATCTCTTTAAAGCTTTTTTTAATGTACTGTAAACACCGGCGTAAAACCTGCAACCCGACTTTGGCAACTCAAATTTTCGAAAAAAATTCTGCGAAGAATTCGAAAATAAATCACCAGTGGAATCAAACAGTTTCTTGATTGATTTTTTTATACATGCAAAAATTTCAGGATGCTCATTGGCTGAAAACACGTCAATTAATCCCTAACGATACAGAAATTTGAAATTGAGTGCGAAAGTTGATGTTGTGTGTAGAAAGTTGAAACTGAGTGCAAAAAGTTTAAAGCAAATTGATTGACATGTAACTCGTGAAAGCACAACATAACAAAAAGGTGGACAAGTGGGGAAAAAGTAACTGTTTTAATTCACAGTTTGAGGGAGAATGCCGAAAACAAAAACACCCAACAAAGGCAAAATAACTGGTTAAAAGTTTGGCTTCCAAAAACGGATGTGAAAGAATAAACTGGAGGCCCTGATTAAAAGTCTCATGAAGTTTTACGCAGCAGTTCGTGCGGAAAGACGAGGAAGATTACGAGCGTGATAACTTTGAATTCGTTTAACTAGTAATCACGTAATTATTTCTCGTGCAATTTGGGATAAATCAACACTCGTAAAGACTCGTAAGACTAAAAATTGCACTCGCCCTACGGTTTTATGCAAGTTGGTAAGCCTTTGAAATATTTACTCGTGCTGATTTATCCCAAATTGCATTCAAAATCATACGATTACCAACACAAATTTCTCATGCATATAAATATATGCGTTATTGACCAATCATGAGGTCAAGATGGCTGGATATTTCCGAAAAAAAAAAAAAAGAAGAAGAAAAACTATGTTAATATCCAGCCATCTTGACCGAAAAAGCTTGGTCAATAAATAATATATCATGAAACAAAGAGATTTTGGTTGACTTCTTTATTGCAAGAGATAGGAGTCGTTTATTTTTTCTTTGTTTTGACTGTATTTTACCGCTTTTTGCAACTCCATCGCCGACAATGTCCAAAAATCACGAACTTTTATGTAAGTTCGCTTTAAGCAATTTTTTATTATTCGCTGGGCCACAGCGATCTATCCCGAACAGGCAAGACGGGCCCGGCATCTTGCTCGTCGCGTGGACGAATGTAGACTGTAGCGCTGTGACTTGATATTACAACCTTGATTGCCTAAGTAGAAATAGATATGCTTCTAGATGATCTAGTTCAAATTAGATAACACCATTCTTGAATACCCGAGTAACGTGATACGAATTCAGACGTGTTTCATTTATTTTGTCGACAGACACTAGTAGATCTTATCAACTTTCCCAGTAACAACAACTAGCCACTAGCTAGAGTCGGTTCAATGTTCTAAATGACGTGTCAACTCAAGCCAGTGTAACTCGGCTTCATATTTCGACTTGCAAAGGAAATAACAGGGTTAACTTGAACTGCATTTTATTACTTGGTGGAAAGTAATCGCTCCTTGATGGCGAGGTAGATTTCATATCGGTGGAGTCTTCCTAATGGCGAGGTGACTGCATGCCGTTTCCAGAGGAAAGTCACAGAAGTCATCTCAGTACTTCAGCAGTAATTGTGAGTCGAAGCACCTCTTTATAACTGTATTTTGCGACTGAAACCCAATTTTTATAGACAGCATACCTGTAAACCACTTTATTTCTTCTAAGGGAAAATCGATAGATATGACGGCCACTATTTGCTGGCTAAATTGACGGTTGACAGTGAACCCACTGAGAACCTCTTCGCTGTAACTGCATTATATGACGCCCGAAAAAAGCTGCCTCCTTCACACCATCCAATACACTAAAACATGCTGTTCGTCGAGTGAATGTTTTAGGCTTTTTGAATTCTCTCTTCCTCTGCCGAGTGGTTAGCGCTTCCACCAAGAACAAAACCGGCAAGATTTTCGCACGACTACATAATTCCTGTTGCATGCCGTAGTTTGATAAAAATAAAACAATAAAAAACAATAAATAGATAACCCTTGGGACTAAGGGTTTATTTTAGAATAGTCTGGGGTGATACGGAAATCTCTCCAAATAGGTGCCTGATTGCAGGTTACGAAAGAACACATTGTCGCAACCAAGTGCAATCGTCATGCTTGTTGAAACAACCGAGCAGCCTAATTAACAGCTTTTTGTTTCTGACCGATTTGAAATTCACCATTCTTGAATTTTTTAAATCTTCTTTAAAGTTACCGAATATCATCAGAGCCAGAAATCGTGCAGAGATCCGCGTTCGGTGTGGATTCAAAGAAAGTTAATAAGAAAAGTTTGTTTTTTTTTTCATTCACCTGAAGAAAGATGAAAAGTGTATAGTGATAGCCGGATGATGCTCTGCGGTATCAGTCACGTCTTCGCTCTGACCTTTGCTATTTGCACGACACTGGGGCAATTCTTGCCCCGGAAGAGTGGTGACGGTATTAATGGTGAAAAAATTGCCTCAAAACGCGGCTTCAAGGCTGCATTTATGTGCTCAGAGGCAGGAAACTGTACTTGCCTCTTTGAAAAACTTGCTGTGGTTGTGGAATGCACCTCTGCACGCGATAAACTCGATGTCATTACATCCGATCTTCCGCAAACAACGACACATTTGTAAGTAACAAGAACTTTATCGTTGTGTAAATTCCATTCATAGAAATTGTAACCTGAAATTATTTTTTTCACCGTAACTTTAAAGTATTTGAAATGACTCCATAAGTATGAAAAGTTTGAAAGGAACTCAGAGCTTGTCCGAATGATAACATACTTTGCTATTGCAATTAAATCATTACGGCCGCACCTAAAGCATTTGAGGATTTGATCATCCGGTCTTTCTCAGCGTCATCTGATGGTCGTTTTGACCACTGAATCAAGGTTAGATCGTTCTTTAGCGGAATAGTCGTTTTGACCATTGAATCAAGGTTCGATCGTTCTTTAAAGGGATAGCATAAACGTGACTGTTCTCACTATTTCTGGTACATTTTATCGTTGTATCATGATTATCGTGTCTTGAGATAATCAGCGAATTATATCACTTACCTGCTGAAAGATCTTTGTTTGGATTACCTCTCCCATCTTTTCCATTCTCATTCATCCTTATTACTTTCATTTCTTTAGAATTTTGAGGAACAATGGACTATCCAGCCTGTTGCCTCTGATAGTTCTCAGTACCTTCAAACAGCTGCAAGTGTTGTAAGTTAATGTTTAGCCTGTTAACAATGATAATAAACGTAAAAAAATGTCTTTATTGTGATTGGCTGAGAGAAATACCATTATTTGGAAGAAAAGTAGTAATTTAGTGCAAAAGAAAGGTAATATAGTGTACCGCCAGGCTTTGCACTTTTTGAGGCCTTTTGAACTTAGAACACAGTCGTTTTGATCTATCGCACAAAGACATATACAGGGTTTGGATCAAATATTTTGCACGTTATTCCCGCGTTTTGCTTCCACGGTAATATTTACGTTTAATTGCATACTTTCTAAAGCAAAGTCCTTTGATAAATTAGATAGATTATGATTGAGACTGACGCTTTGTTTGGGTCCAGTATGAGGTTCTACGGAAATATTTCAATGATTATTGAAAGAAAATAGCCAAGAGGGTTAAAATTCCTTTTTTTAGAGGGAAGCGTTTCCTGGTCTAAAATGTCTGAAAGCGTAAGTGTCGGAAACAGTAAAAATGGTTACTTGAGAAACAATATACGCGTACGATACGATCTGTTTTTTTTCAGTGTGAACCACGATTAATTGTCGTTGTGTCGATGTCTTTATCCATTTCAACTATTTCGTTATGTGTGCATGTTTACACTGCAAACACGATCACATCATAACGTTTCCGTTTCATTCGCCCTGTATCGAAATGCCCTAAAGCCACTCAGTAAAGTGAGAAACAGGTTTTATTAACTTTATTCGTAGAGTCTCTCTTACGTAAGCGGTCATAGAAGTACACGTTCTGCTGAGGTTCGCTATCCCTTCGCTATGCCCCCTATTGCCTCGAAATAATTGGATTTTTCTCTTTTGATTACCAAAACGGTGCATATGTAACAGCCCTTTTACCAGTGATTTGGTTTATTTAGTTACTTCTGTTGGTTAAAAATTTGAATGTAACAGTCGTGTACTTTCTATTACTGCCAATTTGGCTTTTCTTCATGCAGGGATCTTCGAGACAATCTTATCACGACACCAGGCAGCGATCAAGTGCAACGTGTCCTTGGGCGAATATCGAAAGTGTAAGTTTGATCTAAATATATGTTTCAGCTGAAGGAGAAAGTGCAAACTATGATGTCAACTATGATGTCACACCGCGAGATATGATCATCGGATACCCCTTCCCGAAAATTTGGATCCATAAAGATAAGCACTAATTTGGGCAAGTTTTGCGGTTAACGTAAACCGTGTTTCGGTTGTTTAGCGTTGGCTTTCGAGTTCCTAGATCATCCCTTTGGAGAATTTCATCGTTTGCCACATTTAGTTCCAACGGTAGGTCGTCCGTCAAGACAACGGCATTCATCACTGGCTGAGCGAAACAAAACGAAATAAGGTTTTATCATTCGTGATTTCATTGGAAAGATACTGCCTTTAGGCCATTCTCCAAGAAACATTTCAACATTGTGATAAGTTCGACCCTTCGAAAAAGAGGTCAAGGGAGTATTTCAATAAAGCAACTATATCCAAATCATTCAAAGTTTTAGTGGAAAACTGTCAGATTTTTTTTACTAAATACCTAAAAAATATATTTTTGTATCCTAACACCCCCTTGATGAAGCCAAATGGAAAATGGCCACCGAAAAGTTTTAAATTTCTGGGTATGAGAGCTTAACGAAGATCGGAGGATATGAAATCACCATGGTGGAACGTGTTTTTCACATAAAAACGAAATTGTGGTCTCCTTGACAATGGATTTGGGTGGTAAGATTTCGACGCTTTAGCCAGTGCTACGTTCTTGGGAAAAGAGATCCTTTTTTGATTGATCCTTTCATACCAAGATCTGAGTAGCAGTTCTTCTTATGTAAATTGTTTGAAATTATGCTCCCTTCACAGTTTCCTGGACAATAATCCTCTCGAGTGCGACTGTGCAATAAAACCTTCCCTTTGGACAGCTGAGGTGACTGGCACGTGTGCACATCCACCTCATCTGAGAGGAGTCGAAGTTAACACACTTCACACCGAGGATTTCAAATGCGGTTTGTTGGATTCTGATTTCCTATTAGGAACCTTTCTGAAAAAATTTAAAATCAATCATGCGACTCTGATCGGAAATGACTGGAGCTTCTACCCAAGAAATGAAATTCACTTGGACTACGCCCTTTGTGGTGGGATTTACAATACACTCGAGACGAACGTTCCAGTAACATACTTGAAAACTCGATTGTAGGGATAATCCTTGACAGCATTTATCAAACAGAAATTAAAATCTCTGCGGTAGCAAAAGCAAATTGTATTGAGTCTAACATGTTTTAATATTCTTTCGATTTAGCTAAAAGTTGCGCAGGACTTTTTACACATGGAAGACGCTCGAATACTTTTTACAATTTACATAACCCTGACCACGCTTTGCTGCCCAGAAACCAGAGCTACATTCGGGTATGGTGTGACATGCAAGGGCCTAATGGTGGATGGATCCTTCTTCAACAGCGTAACAATGCTACTTTTAACTTTCTTAGGAATTGGGTTTCTTACGAAAAGGGTTTTGGAGAGCCTGGCTTCGGATACTGGCTCGGAAATAGGAACATGCATGCTATTACTTTCAAAAGAAAGCATGTGCTGAGATTTGAACTCCCAGACCTTGTTGATGAGAAAAACCAAGTCTTGTTTTTCGAATATGATAATTTTCGAGTATTGAGTCCCTCAACTTACTATACCATTCAAACGGGAAAGCATCGCGGTACTATTCATAACATCTTCTGGTACATTAACAATTCTGCGTTTTCCACATGGGATCAAGATAATGACAAGTCAAAACAAGCATGTGCTTGGATAAATAGTGGGGCTTGGTGGTATGGAGACCACTGTTATGTTATTGACCCAAACAGCATGCAGGAATTCATCAGGATTACGATGAAAGCCAAAGAAGTCTTGGGAGGTAATGTTCTTCAAATAGGAGCTCCTTCGTGAAATTGAGTCGCCCTAAAGTCTGAGAGGGTCAAATAGAATGAATAATAATTTCCCATCATACTTGATGTAAGTTCACGATCTTTTATCCCGAGAAAGCGAGATTCCATGGAAATCCGAAATTGGCTCCCTTTTAAATCAAAGAGACTCTAAACAGGCAAGCGTTACTAGTCCTCTTTCCCAGAGCCATTCATGATTTCTGCTTTTGCTTTTTCGAAAAGACTATTATTTGGTCTGAATTAAAACTTAACGATGTTGAATTCTTAGAAATAAACTTAAAATAAAATCATTGTTTTAATCGTCCTGAACGATTATAAATGGTTTACTCTTCCTAGGATATAAGTCATTGTGATTTAGACGATTTTGGCTATTCGTGTCTGAAGAATTAAACGCAGTGTAGAGATGCAATTTATACTTTCGCTCTTAGAAAGGGATATGATAAGTGATAGAGCGGACGATAAAGCGACTCTTTTAAAAACGAAGTTTGAAAAGGCTTCCGTTGCGATGAGGTTTAATCATAGAAGCGCTAAAATAACCTCTTAACAAAAGGAAAACCAACCTGCTTAGAATAAGCAACTGTACCGTTGACCGTCTAACATCACCAGAAGTTGTACTCTATTTTTGCATTGTATGTTTTCCTCTTAGAGCAGCTGGATTGACTTTACTTTGTCACCTCTCAAAGTAAGTATAAGGCTATCTAATTGGATACCTCATGCATGATCACTTTCCCAGTCATGCAGATCATAACCTTTTCCTTTATATCCTAGGGAACTGTAAATCAAGAGAAGTCTATGGAAGAATTGAATGTGGATGGGTAAACATCACAAAAGATCACTGCTTGGCACGTGATTGTTGTTATGACATCACTGCGCATGGACACAATGCAAGGAGCAGTACTGTAAATTGCTTTGTTAAGCCTCATCTTGGTGAGTGAGCTATGCGAGTTCTCTGACTTAGTGATATATTGCTATTCATCAAAAGTTCGTCTTTAGGGTTTTTGGAAATTCTTTATCACATGCCGGTATTTTAAAAACATGGCCAATTTTACAATTTAGCTTTATTGAAATAAGCTTTTGCTCAGTATATTTTCTGTATGACTAGTCTCTATACTCGTGGGTTGAAAAAGTAAGGGATAGGCTTTGGTGGCTGAAGATGCTGAATTTGAAAAACAAGCTATTGATATAAAGGAGCAAACTTACTGATTGGTGTCGACACAAGGATCATGTAGGCTAGCTCATCAATTAACTCTAATTTAATTTCTTTTTAAAAGTGTTTGTGGAGCGAATTGGCTGCTTCTTTATTGATAGTAGACGGATATTGGCATATCAAGACCCGCCTTTAGAAATTGTAAAGTCCTGCAGCTCTTTAGCGAGGTCACGTGGTCTTAAAGTGTTTGCTGTGCGTAATGGCAGTGAATGCCTTGGTGACAAGCAGTTACCCTCTCTATTACATCGACTGTTTACTTCGAGAGGATGTCTCGGAGGTCGAGGAGGACCAAACGTGTCTGATGTTTATCGTCTTACAAGTAAGAAAGCCCTCGTACTCAAGTATTAATCTCCGTCCATGTATCTTCTAAGCTCTCAGATATGTATTACTTTTACTTGCTCACTCACCTAATTTATCATCCATCTGTCTATATTCGTCAGCTTATTTATTATACATTTTTTGCCATTGGTTTGTTGGCTCGTTCTTTCATATACCTCCTTCTATCTATTCTTTAACTGGATATCTAGTTTTGCTGTTGATGCATTTGTGTTTTTTTTTGTTTGGTTTCTTATTTTAATGTATTGTTTTAGGTAAAATCAAAAACCAGAAAACCCGATTATTTGTAAGTTGACATTCCATTCTCGGGCCAACTACTTCAATAACTACTTGAATAATCGATGACTTACACAAAGAATCTGAAAAAAATTAACTAAGAAAAAATTGAAGGAGTAGACAGGTCTCTCAAATTCGACTCATTTTTTTGCTTCTTAATTTCAGTGTTTGTCACTAAGTTGACCGGACTCGGAGCCAGCAAAACTACATTTCAAAGTGTTCATGTGGATTGGAATGCATCCCCAGAGCCATTTATTCTTGGCTACAGAATTCGTTTCCAGGACAACTCTTTTGTGGTCCCCTGGAACAAGACTTACGCCCACTTACAGGGTCTCCACAGCAACACAACGTACAACATAAGTGTGATACCACTTCATGGTTTATCAGATGAAGATAATTTTGCAGACAACGCAGAAAGCATCCACATAGTCACCAAGCCAGAGTCGGGTAAGTAAGAGGTTGAAGTTCTCACACCTTGCCTTTCAAAATTCCCAACGAATGCATGGATACGAAGACAATCAGGTGACACGAAATCCGAGTAAAATGTTCAGCGTAATGTTTAAAGGGTATTTAAAACCACTAACTTTCTAAAGGCCAGGTCTTATTTCTGATAAACAAAAAATAACTTTTGTTTTGGCTATTAAATGTGACTCGGCAAAATTAATGAAATCCCTAACTTCACAGTAATAAACAGCTAATGCTTGTTTAACTACTAAATCTTTCCTTGCCGTCTTTAATTTACGAACTCCACATAATGTGATAGCCCATGGCACATCTTGGTGTCAAATATTTTTTTCCAATTATCTGTGACTGTTGCTTGAGTGTTTACTTAATTTACTTCGGGGGATGGAGAAGCAAACACAACAGAGACCCAATCAGATATACCGACAAATGTACTTCCCATTACGTGCTTAGCTTCCATTACGAAGAAATAAAAAGCTTTCCGATTTTTTGATAATTACCATTATCTTAGACGCGAACGCTTCCCTAACATTCCTGCTTTTATTTCAGCTCCGTCCCGAGCACCTGCCTTCGTAGCCGTGCAGAACTCCAGTTCTACGAGTCTGACAATAAAATGGACCTATATTACAGAAGGAAATTTTCAAGGAAAACCCATTGGCTACAATGTCTCCTATTATTCAGTTATTTTAAAGAGCGATATTAGTTTTGGGATTGTAAACTTCACAACAAATGTCACAACACTCACTAACCTAAATGCTTATACTATTTACGTCGTTAGAGTGGCAGCTGTAAGCTCTGGAGGAATAGGACCTGCAAAGGCAATAAAGGTTCGAACAGACGCAAAGGGTATGACCGCGTTGGAAATAGCTTTAGATAATCTAACTAGCAAGTAATTTTCGTGAGAGGAAGCATCAAGAAAACTTCCTTGATTAACTACCACAATCCCTGAACATGCAGGTCGACTACTGCTTCTTTGGAACGTTGATGGGCATTTGCTGCGTTAAAACATCTTGAATTTTTTACTTGCTTTGGTAAATCGTGCAAAAAGACAGAAGATGTCTCGATCATACCAGAAAAAACGGTGGGGCACTTCCATGGCATTAACTGACATGCACCGCCTAACAGGATATTTTTTGGTGATTACTCAATAGATCTTTAACTTGATATCTCTATCAGGGTGCCGTCTTTCCGAACCTTAAATAGGTGATTACCCCTTAACGTACAAAGGTCACAGAAATTCAGTTCATACATGTCGGTTTCGAAGTGTTTTAACATTTGAAGATAAATGCGTACGTATAATCGTTATTTCAATTTGTGAATTATCATAAGATTCCATTAGACACTTAATGGCATTGGGAATCCCCATAAGTTTGAAGGGATAGGTTTGTCACACAAGGGAATTGTTCATAATTTTCTACTCGTTTCTCCTTAAGCTCCATCTGCAGCTCCTCACTTGATAACCGCATACAACTCCAGTTCTACGACCCTGTTGGTGGAATGGAGTTACCTTCCAGAAGATAAATTCGAAGGACAGCGAATTGGTTACGTAATCAACTATTACCCTGTCGATTTAAAGGGCGATATTGATTTTGAGAACGTAAACTACACGTCAAATACCACAACACTAACCAACCTGACTGTTTATACCACGTATGTCATTCATGTGTCAGCGGTGAGCTCTGGAGGAATTGGCCTTGCTAATGCAGTAGAGGCCCGAACAAGTGCAAAAGGTACGGACTTATTTATAATACGTAAGGCAAGATTCAAACGTTAATAAAAGTGTATATATGTTCTTAGAACTAATGAGCGCCGTTGAACACGAGTTATCACCAACTATCATGCACTCTTACAGAACTTATTTTCCATTTCGTTGCATAGATGACACTTATTTACATTTTTTTTCGGTTGGCAATCGGGATATCCTTTCATCCGTTGATAAAGGGAGCCGAAAAAAATGAGAAAAGGTCTTCACATACTGCCACAAAAACACTGATAACGTGACTGCTGGGACCAAGTAACGGAATTAATAGACAAGAGAAAAGGCGGGTCACGAAAGAGTAGGCAGAACACCAGTCAGCTGAGCAAGCGCCCCGTGAGCACATTGGCATAAACAATCATTGAACGTTGGATCAAAATCACGATATTCAGTAGTAGCGAGTCAATATTCGTTCATGTTCATTGGATCCATTTAATGACATTCTCCATGACAGATAAAAAACAATCAAACAAACAAGCAAACTAAACGACAAAAAAACAGACATGCTCTTTCCGTTGATTAATACCGAGGTTATTGTAAAGTAATGCAACGATAATCTTTCTGAGAGTGATGCCTTTCTTTTTTTACTTCAGCTCCTTTGTTTAACTAAAATATTTGCCTTAACTCACTAGAGGATTTATAGTAACCGTTTCTAAAGTGTCTTAAAAACGAAACGCTGGTTAATCTTTTAAGTGTCAAATCCTTTCTAACTTTTTAGATCCAATCATAAATTTTGACTCGCTAAGGCATTTAGAGTTAAGCAATATAATCTATTGATATTTTACACATTTTGCAAATCATATGCTATTTTGCTCCGTCAGCTCCAGCTCTTGTCCCTAACTTAATAACCGGATAAAATAAGTCGCAGAAGCCTTAAGTGAGATGGAGTCTTCTGCCAGCAGGAAATTTCCAAAGGCAATCCGTTGGTTACAGGATAAATCATTACCCAGCTGATTTGAAGGGTGAAATTGATTTTGTGAGCGTGAACTTCTCGACAAATATCGTAACACTGACCAACCTTACTGTTCACACCACGTATGTCATTAACGTGACAGCGCTAAGCAAAATTATAGCTCTTCGCCAACGTTTTCAAACTTTGCACATATCCTAACCGATTTCTGCAAAAAAACAACTTGTTATCGTCAAGTTTGCATCGTCCTAAAACGAGGACACCAACTTCTTAAGGCGAGTAGATCAGTTTTCTGTAATTTTTATATCGATTCTTGCCTTTATGTGTTAATCTGAGCTTTAGGTCTGACACCGTATGAAAAAGTAATTACGTAGAGCCAGTTGCGAAGTTTTTAAAGGAGAGGTTTGCCTCAGATCGAAACGATTCGTTTTTATCTCGGTCATGGAAACTATTATAAATGAATTAGGATATTGAGCTGTTTTAAGGTGACAAAGAGTACCCCATAGAGTTTTCCTACGACCTACTATACAAATTTGACCACGGTAGCCGCCATTTCTAATCGTGCGTAGCAACCTTTGGCTGGTAAATTGTCAACGTTAATCTTAATCAGCTGTTTGTGTAACTTGAGTTGTGTGTTTGCCAGTACGTCTAAGTTGCTAACTTGTCTTTAAAAATGGTGCCGTGCGTGGTCGATTTTTAAGCACATTTGAGAACACTTTATGAAAGGTTGGCTTCTTTTTCGGTGTAAACGCGGTTGTTAGAAGATTTTAAAGTAAGTCATAGGCATAACTTCTTTTGCTGTGGGGTATTTCTCTTCTTTAAAGAAAATGAAGTTTCGCAATTCAATAGCCTATACGGAGCCCCTATTTCAATTTGACCAACTTACCCAGTCCATTCAATGATTTATGAAGAATGCAATACTCTTTTGAAAAATGGGCTGAAGAAAATAAAAATTTTGTGTATGAAATCTACAATGGTAAATTATCGACCCATCCGAACCGGACATTTAGATTAAAAATTAATGGCATACTAAGCGTATATGGACACTTAATTTACGAAAGCTCATCAATCCTTCTTTTCCTCAAGCTCCATCCCGAGCTCCTGATTTGGTAACTGTTTGCAGTTACAGTTCTACGAGTCTAATAGTGGATTGGCGTCAGTTGCGAGAGAAACAATTTCAAGGGAAACCAATTGGCTATAGAGTCACTTATCACTATGTTGGGTTGGAACTAGATGGTGGCTCCGTAAGAGTGAACTACTCAACAAATAGAACAACACTGACCAACCTGACTGTCTATACTATGTATGTTATTAAAGTGTCGGCGGTAAGCTCTGGAGGAATAGGACCTGCGTACATAGTAGAGACGCGAACTGGCGCAGAAGGTATGATTTCTGTGATAAAAAAATATGAGCCACTTTCCATGAAAACAGAGAGGTTGTCAAGTTGTTACTGTGCTAATTTCCTTTTTTCTCCTGTCGGCTATGGGAAGAAGAGTAATGAGATTGAAGCATTTGATACTACCTGTTCGTCCAACTATTTTGATTTGTTATGGCTAGAAAGTTAGTCATCGATGATCTTCTCAATACCATTTTTTCTCTTCTAGCTCCCTTTCTGGCCCCTGGCTTTGTATTTGCCCACAGCACCAGTTCCACAACGGTAATAATAAAATGGAGTCGCCTGTCAGAAAAAGATTTTCATGGACAACTCATTGGCTATAATATAACGTATTCCTCACTCGATTTGCAGAGTGAGGTTAATGTGATTACTACGAACTACACAGCAAATTCCACAACACTGACCAACCTGACTGTTTATACTATTTATGTCATTAATGTATCAGCGGTAAGCTCTGGAGGAATAGGACCTGCAAACACAGTAACTGCTCGAACAGACTCAGACGGTACGGATGATATCTCTATAAAGTAAAATCTCGAGGGTTTAATTACTCTACGCCATATTTTATGTTTCCAATTGTGTTTAAACTTTAACAGTTATAATGTCTCCTTTAGCACCTCTCCGGGCCCCTGTCTTGGTAACCACACAAAACTCCAGTTCTACAAGTTTGTTGGTTCAGTGGACTCGTCTACCAGAGGAAGATTTTCGGGGCCAACCAATTGGATACAATATCATTTACTACCCCGCTGAAATAGAGAATGATGTAAACTTGGTTACTGTGAACTTCACGACAAATAAAACAACGCTGACCAATCTGACCGTTTACACCATTTATGTAATTAACGTGACAGTGGTAAGTTCAGGAGGAATCGGTCCTGTAAAAACAGCAAAGGTTCGAACAGACGCAGAAGGTATGGGTGTCGTTAAGCTTAGCTTACCTGTTTGACAATGTAACATTAAGTAACACTTTTCTGGTGAAAAGACAAAAAAGAGTAACGCAAGCAAACCCAGTTTCTGTAAGTGTCATGAGAAAACATCCTAATAGGTTGCTGTGTTTTGATTTTTAGAAGTTTTTGCATTTTTACCGATCGAGATCTGAAATAAGCGTTATTCATGGTTCAAATACTGTAACGATTTTATTGTTGCACTTTTTTGTTAAGTAAATGTTGTTGAAATTGGATTGATAGACATAATAATTTTAAGTTAGAAGGTTAGATATATAAAATGAGATTTCAAGAAGGAGGCCATATTACGTCATATACGTGATGACGTGTTTTTTCTGTACGCAGTCTTTCTTTACCAAACTTACATTACGTTAGGGTATTTCTATAGGTAAAATTTTCCCTTTGGTTTTACAATCCGTGTTTAATTTTTTTGATGTGTCCACGTTTATCGATCTGGTTTATGATTTCCTCAGTTTTCAGAACAGATGCAAAGGGTAAGGATGTCTTTAAAATAGCTTTAGATGTATGATCGTTTCACAGTAACCTATGAAAAATAAATATGTACATGGAACTCACATATGATAGGGAAGATTCATCCCATTATGTTATTGATAACTTGTTTTTTCTCCGCCAAGCCTGCCATCTTCACCTAAATTACGCTGGTCTGGTTGTTTCCTTTTGCTTGTTGAACACATGTTGTCAAGTCGCCGATAATCTTTCCAATCTCATTGTTGTTTTCTAAGCTCCATCACAAGCTCCCCACTTGGTAACCGTGTACAACTCCAGCTCCACAAGTCTCGATGTTCGATGGAGTCTCCTGTTGGAGAAACATTTTCAAGGACAACCCACTGGCTACAGAATATCTTATTACTCAGATAAGTCAGAGAATGATACAAAGGTTATGAGTTTAAATTACGCAACTAATACCACAACACTGACGAACCTGAAAGTTTATACCATGTATGTCATTTATGTGTCAGCGGTAAGCTCTGGAGGAATAGGCCCTGCGAAGACAGCAAGGGCTCGAACAGACGCAGGAGGTAAGGAGGTGCTGAAGTGGATGTAGGTGTAGGAAACCGTTTTGTCGCCAAAAGGACCTTTCGTCGAAGGAAGAAACACGAAGAGACATTTAACAATAATTTCATGCCCCTCTGAAGCCAATGAGGGGATTTTCTTCCTGCTAATCTACTGAATTTTCAGGACTGTTGAGTTATTAATTTTTAGTAGTAATTAGGAAATATTTTTATATTCAACGAATGCAGAGTGGAAATGTTGGAATGCTTTTTGTCATTTTCAGTCGTTGAGTTTTCTTGTAGGATTTGAAAAATTCGTAGAATTTTGCATTTGATTCAATAAGTAGACATCATCTCATACCATTATAAGTTGCCATCCTAAAACATATTCCCACCAAATTTATCAAAGTCATCGTTTTATTCTCAGCTCCATTTAAAGCTTCTGAGGTTGTAACTGCACATAATTCCAGCTCCACAAGTCTTGTAGTGAATTGGAGTCACCTGCCGGAAAAGAAATTTCAAGGAAAACCTATTGGTTACAAAATCACCTTTCATCCGGTTAAGTCAGGGATTGATGTTAAGTATGTGAGCGTAAACTACACGACAAATAGCACCACCCTGACCAACCTAACAGCTTATACCATATATGTGATTCGGGTGTCAGCGGTAAGCTCTGGAGGAATAGGACCTGCAAACACAGTGAAGGCCCGAACAGACTCAGAAGGTACTGTAGAATCGATGATACTTTACAGAAGCAAAGTATGTTCTCTTTTTTAAAAATAGATTCAGAACCGTGACATTACTAAACAGTATTGTGTAAGGAAATTCTCACATATATACAAACCTCTTGAGTCTCTTGTTTATTGATAATTAAGATTATTTTTACCTTTGTGAACTGTAGGTGTTAAGGTTTTAAGAATTTCTAGAGTGCGAGCATATTGTAAATTCGAAAGTTATTTTTATTAAAAAAATTTTTTTAAATTAAAATTTATTTTTTGTTAAATTCGAAAGGTATTTTAAGATTAATTTGTCTTCGATTTTTTGGTTGAACAATTTTCTTCAATTGATCTCAGCTCCTTATAGGGCTCCTGACTTGGTTATCGCCTACAACCTCAGTTCAACGATTCTTGCAGTAAAATGGCGTCACCTGCCAGAAAACTATTTTCAAGGAGAACCACTCAGTTACAGAATCAGTTACAACCCAATTGCTTCAGAGAATGACATTAATGCTTTTAGTGTGAACTACACGTCAAATACAACAACACTGACCAACCTGACTGTTTATACCGTTTATGTCATTAATGTGTCAGCGGTGAGCTCCGGGGGAATAGGACCTGCAAACACAGTTAGGGCCCGAACAGGCGCAGAGGGTAAGATGGTTTTTAAATAAGAATTTTCCAAAAAGAGAGCAAAGAGAAAAATTTAACGCTTGAATTACATCTCAATTACATCTGGACAACAAGTCAACAATAAAGTAGTAATCCTGAGATTCTTGGTTGGAGCTTTGTGGTTGTCTCAGCTATTAATTTGGCAGAACACCTGGCTCTTTGAAATTTTTAAAAGATCTCAGATAACCCGTTAAGGAAAGAGCAAAATTTATTCAGTAGATTGCTAGGGAAAAAATTAGTAGCAGTCGTTTTTTTTTCTATTTTCCAGTTCCCTCTGTTGCACCTGGTCAAGTTATGGTGACTGCGCAGAGTTCCACAAGTTTGCATGTTTCCTGGACTGCTGTTCCTCAAAAACATCACCGTGGAAAGATCCACATGCACAAGATTTATATCAGTCTGGCTACTCAGCCAATCAACTATATCAATTCATATTTTTCGTTCAATCCAGTCGAGTACAACATTAATGACCTTCGTGTTTTCACATTGTACGTCATTCGTGTTTCGGCGGTGAATGAGGCAGGAGAAGGACCGAAAAGTAGAGCTGTTACAGCAAGAACTCTGCAGGGCGGTGAGTTTACTCATATCAGGCGGAAATAGATATATTTTTGTAGATGTATTAGTTATTTAGTAATACCCATCTATTTCTGTAGTGCCCAGTGCACCCCCGATGAATTTAAGTTTGGTTCATAGCGACTCGTGGTCCATCGTCGTAGAATGGAAACCAGTCCCTGTGGGATATGAGAATGGTATAATCAAAGGATACACGCTGGTTCACAGAGTGAAGGATTCCGAAAACTCTATGTCCATGGCTGATGACTCCATCTATTCCAAGAATATTGCTGTTCTTTCTGGGTTGGAATTTGACACATTGTACTCAATCCGAGTGGCTGCTTTCACAAATGCTGGTTCTGGAAATTTCTCGGAGCCAATCGAAGTCAGAACAAAAATGTGTAAGTAAAGCTCCATCACTTCCTTTATTGAGACCAAAAGATTTTCTCTTGTCTAAAAAATTTCTCTCTGTCTTCAAAAGCGTGGCTGCTTTCCTTTCGACTCATATAGCATGCTTAGTGGGGGACTGATGATAAAAACTGGAGGGGTAGGGTAGCTTGCACATAGGACAGACGAAGCTGGCTCCTCTCTGTTTATTTATTCATTGATCGACTTTTTTTATTTTATCTTGTATATTTATCGTTTTTTTTTATCCAGCATCCTTATCTTCAACATTCTTTGATTTTGTAGTTGACCCATGTGACGATGTTTTTTGCTTAAATGGAGGGACATGTATACTGACGCCTGAATCCTACCTGAATGCAAGCAAACCTTGCATATGCCAAAAACGGTTTTTCGGAAGATTGTGTGATGCTTATGTTGCTGGTAAGAACGTAGCAACAACTTTCCAATTCTGAATTCAGCATTGTCGAAAGCATTTTTGTAAGAATCTTTACATTTTTCAATCTTGGTTCCTTAGAGCGTTCGTGTCGAAGTCCGACCGTAGAGCTGCCTGGCCTGTCATCAAATGTAACCTCGTCACTGACTGTACGTCGAGCCAATCAGCTTGTAATTTCTTCAAAAGTCACTCTTGATTGTGAGCTTTTGTATGAGACAATATTTAACTGGGAAGTGTACGATCTGCATTCACAATCTCGTGAACATCCCTTTCTTTCAAGATACGGTGGTACCTCAGAATTTCTCATAAAACGAGGCAAGCTACCGGTGGGTATATACTTGGTGCGACTGACTGTTAAAATGGCGGGAACGCAAGTATTTGGCCTCAGTGAGGGCTACATCCGGGTCATTGAAAGTCCATTAGTTGCGCATATCTCCGGAGGAACAAAGGTAGAAAGAGGATTCAATAAAACCTTGGTGTTCAATGCTTCCTTGTCACGTGACCCTGATTCCTTCAATCCTCCTAACGGTAAGATGACTACTGTACTCTGATCACGAAGTAAGACTGGATATATTTGCTTTTCATAAATTTACTGTGGTGGCCATCTTTTCCATTCTAAAATTCACGCTGATAATTGACTGTACTCTCTTAGTTGAGAGCGAAGATGTTTCAATCGAAGATTCGTAGTCCACCATCAGGCGCACCTGTCCTCGCCTCTTTTTGTTAACCTTCCTCTCGGTTTCATTTCCTTTTTTTTTTTTTTATCGCTGTCCCTGATGGTAACGTTTCTAGTCTGATCTTATCCTTTCTCGTAAAATGGAATTAAAAAAGAAAATACGCGAAATGGCCGTTCGGCAAGAGTACCTTAGGGCTACCTTCTATTTTTAGGTCTTCGTTTTACATGGATATGCAGAAATTATTCACAGAAGTTTTCTGACGATCTACTTGAAATACCCGTGGCCCTGCCAAGACCTTCAGCAGCCAATCTCGACAGTGGAGGATGTTTTGGGATTGGAGCAGGGAATATAGGCGGCAACGATTCCATTGTTAAGATTGACAGTGGGTATATGACAGAGAATAGTTCATATTTCATAACAGTTGTGGTCGAGAAGCATCCGAGAAAAGCGTATTTCACACAGGAAGTAATTATTTCTCCTGGTGATCCTCCGGTAGTCGAGATAAGGTACGGTCATAGAATACATAAAAACAGGAGTAACAGATAACATAGATAATTCAAGGAGGCCTTGCACCCACGATATAGATTTCTTTTATAACTTCGTAGTAAGATGAACATTAATTTACTTTTTGGAATTCACCATTAAGAGACGGGAGGCGCCTAAGTCGGTAGATACATTAAGTTTAAATCATTAGACAAAAAAAGAGTATCTCTACATTGATTTAATGTTCTCATGGTAACCATATTTGGAAAAAACCATCACAACTTTTTGCAAAATAATTTGGCACATTTTCTACAGCGTGTGCGAGTAATTCTGATAAAGTATTAACTTGGGTTACGGAGGGCTTTCCTTGCCCGGTGAAGAGTCCATTTTATCCGGCACGAATGAAGACTTGAATTCACTGCAAAGACAAAAAACGTCGAAATCACAGACCGTGTGTGAAAGACCGGGGCTCGCAAGAAAACGATAACAGAATTACAGAGAAAATGTTTGGAAGGTATGTTTTTATCTAGTGTCCTTTTATTGCGCGTTATTAATTTGTTTTGTTCTGTATCCTAGATGTGAAGATAATTGTGACTTAAAAATGAATCCCTCTCGTCGTTTAGCGCTTGCACGACTCTGCGAGGAGCTTGACTGCAGAAGGGGCCTTTCTTATCAATGGACTCTTTTTGAGGCCGATGTGGCGAACGAGTCCAAATGGATTCGAGTCGGTGATTTACAAGAAAAAATTCGTACACGATTGACCTCGCCGAGAGTCGTTTTAAACCCTGGAGTACTGAAATCCAATATGATTTATAAATTCGTGTTAACTGCTAAACGGCGCGGAGGACACGCGGGCTACTCAGAGTACCAGTTCGCCACTTACAGCTCCCCTACTGAGGGAAAATGTGACGTCACCCCTTTGTCTGGAAGAACACTGGACACTACCTTTACTTTCGCGTGCAGTGGCTGGGCATATCCAGATCGTCCTTTGCAGTATTCATTCATTTATTTCATCGATGATGTTTTTCCCAACGTTGTATGCAAAGGGATGGAAAGAAGTATTAAGACAACGCTTCCCGCTGGACAACAGATAAAAAACTATACAATCGACTTTCGTGTACGAGTGGCTGACATGTTCGGAGCCTTTACTGAAGTGAGGACTCCTGTTCAGGTATGGAACGAATGCATTCGAATTCAGACAATTTTCTATGAGGCTGCATTATTTTGACAAAAGGAAAGTTTGAAACTTTTCATTGCTTTATGATGAAAGGTGAGAATCGTGCGTTATGCGATTCAGTAATTTGCAGCCCGTCCTCTCAAAGAAGAAAAAGCCAAATTTATCAAAACGTGCAGCTTCTGCCCATTCCTTTTGAAACATTTGTTTATTGAAATGATTCTCTTGATTACTTTTCCTCTTATCTAATATCAGGTGCTGCAGCTTCAGTTAAACGCAGAGAGGCTTGTGGACCGCGCTGTTCAGTTAACGACTGGAAACCAAAGTCAGTTGAATAAATTACTTCAGTCAGGAGACTTGTCACAGGCTGTTCAGCTGGCCAAAGCAGCCATTGTGGCTGTTGACGTTGATGAAAAAATTCCTCAGAATAAGCTCAAAGAAAAGAGGAAAGGGGTGAGTACTCGATAATGGTTTTCATGAGCAGTTTCTTAAAATCTGACGGAAAACTTGCTAAATATTTACAAAGAATTGTAAAACAACTTAATGTAAATTTGGACTTCAAGTTCAAAATAACAAATATTAATTATCCACAAGTTGACAAACTTGCACCGTATGAGGACTGTGCAACAATGGACACCGGAAAGGGTCTGATTTTGGACTGAAAAAAACCTTTATAAGCGAATGAAAACTTGTCTCTGGAGTGAAATGCTGATCACGACAAGCCTTTCTATCTATAGGTAACAGTCATTCGTAAACGTTATTTTGTGCAGGTGAAATCCAGTATTGTAAAACGGTTGTCTGCTGTACAAGTGGAGACTGTGGAAAGAATACAACAAATATCCAAGGTTATAGCCGAGGCCGTCTCGGTTGTTGGCGAAGTTACCGCAGAAGCACAGGTAAATTTTTTTTACGCATCTATTTTTTTCACAAACATTAAATTTTTCTAAACAACTTTCAAAGCTCAATTTTTACCTGGAGAAGGTGGAGTCCTCCTTGAATGATAGTTTGTGAAACCTTAATGAACACCAATGTGGTGATGAACTTTCAGAGAGCAGCAGCAGATGCCCTTCAGTCCATGACTACAGTTTTGAAAGAAGAATCCTCAGCAGGGAAAAGTTACGAGGCGCTTTTGGACGGTGCAAGAAGTCTTGCTGCTGGTCTCGGTGGCATGCTCAAGGTGTCTTCATACTGGGCAAGAGAATACGAGATGAGGGACACCCACCAGGTGGATTCGGCCAATGTACACCGCCAACGAAAAAGCCTTCGTTCTCTAGACCCTACTGTCCAACAAAGATCAAAGCAAGACGGTACAGCTGAGCTGCTACAAGGGAGGAATGAGGTATAATAATGCGACGTTTACCTTGGGCGGAATTGGTTGGCTTTACATCTTTAGAAGCAGCGAGCTCCTGCTGGGTTACAAAAAAGCGATCGTAGTCGTTAATCATTCTGTTGGGGAAAGGGGGGAATGAGGGCATCTAAATTAATGTGCTTTTTTCTTGCGATCAGCTTATGAGCAGCCCTAATGAAACTTAATCCACAGATCAGTTCATTCATAAAGAAAATCAAGTCATTTTTAGAGTTACCTCGTAGGTTCAATTACTTCAATCACTCCCTGAATTCTATCAACATTTTTAATATAAACGCTGAAAATTAAAATAATTAGCAATCGTAGTTTCAGTCAGCTGCCTTTAAGATTTGTTACTCTACTTTATAGTCAAGAGAACGAGCTCTGGGCCTTTTACAGTCGCTGGAAAATGTTGGAAGAACCATCTTGTCTCGAACCCTAGTCGGTGAGAAGCCAAAAGAGCTTTCATCCCAGCCTGTGTCTCAGCTTATTTTTCGAGAGGAGCCTCACTTCCTACCAGGATCTGTTTTGTCCAACCAAGACTACAGTTGTGCGCTTCCTTCAGATTCGAATCTGTTCGGCAATAGTACATTGTTTGTGGATAGCCAGGTATTGAAATAACGTCACTTGTTTTTTTGACTAGTTTGCAACATGTAGGCAGTCAGTCCTTTTCTTTGCCCGCCTTAGTCTCAACAGGTTATAGATATCAAGTGGAAAATAGATTTTGTATTAAGGATCAACGAAAAAAGCCGCTTTTTAATCATTAACATTATGGTGCACATAATGTTTATCAATACGTTCTCATGTCAGCAGAAGATCAGAGTAACAGTGACAGCCTGTTAAGGCTTTCTTCCAGAAAAATTTTTCAGTTATTTTATGAACCAAGGTGTCTGAGTTAGAAGTTTACTCTATGTGGAAAAGGTAGATTAGTGGGCCACATTTCACAATTCCGTTTTTACTTCAGATGATCACAACAAGTTTTGTATCTTACTCGTGGCACCCTTCAGCGGCGAGATTGACAAGTGGAGTTTTCAGCCTTGAGTTTAAAAACAGCTATGGGCATCTCTTTAATGTGACAGAACTGACAACGCCGATGACTATCAAATTGCGCAATAATTACAATTTAATTAACACCTCTCGATCATACTTCGTTGGTACTCGTAAGACTGTGTTCCACAAGATAAATATCACTCATTTGGGGATAACTCTGATACTGAGGGTTCGTCCAGAAAATAGCAAAACAGAATTGTTTGTGACTCTTATGTTTGGAAAACGACCCTCAGCTAATAACAGTGATATGAACGTCACCGTCCCTAACTTCTCAACCTGCGCTCAGACGTCGTCTGGTTATGTCAACTGCTCAACTGATCCGTATAAGGTACTCGTAGACAGTAAACTCATCAAAAAGACAGGCATTTACTTCATTGGAATACAAATCAAGTCAAAGGGTCCTTCTAGGAAGAGGCGGTGCATAGGACAAGGACGGTCAAAACGCGCATGTGTGCAATATAAAGAAGTCCTTGCAGCAGACGGTACTAAAGCAGGACAGTCTCCACACAATCGAATCTTTAGGAAGGGCGATGAAAATTACACCATACAAGTGATGCCAGCTGCCTGTCTCTATTGGAATACCGCAATGTCTAAATGGACATTTGATGGATGTAAGGTAAGTGAGCATTGTTGTTCAGTGTCAATGCTATCTAACCATTTGCTTTATCAAATGAAGTGCGAAACTAAGTTCATACAGACAATTTAGTGTTTTCTTATTGACAATGGTTTGCATTATGAACAGGTGGCTGAAACAACAACTATGGATGTGATTTACTGCCACTGCAACCATTTGACTACATTTGGAGGTGAATTGTTCGTGGCAGCAAACCCCATCGATTTTGACAAAGTATTTGTTGAATTAAAACGCATTCCAGAGACTGGAAATGTAGCTGTAATTATAACAGTGAGCTGCGTGTTCGGACTTTACTTAATACTTATACTGTGGGTTCGGAAGGCCGACAAGAAAGATGCTTTGAAGGTAGGTGTCAGTATGTTTCTCAAGGAGTAGATGATAACCTTATTCTACATCTTTTAAATGTGTTTAAATTAAAATCATAAAGTCATCAGACAACGTTCGCTTTGTCGTTCATTTCAGATTGGCGATAAACAATTTTTGGGATCTTTATCACCCTGGTGTTGTCGATACGAGATTGAAATATCCACAGGCATTTGGTTTGATTCTGGTACCAGTGCTAAGGTGTATCTAGTACTTGAGGGCGAAATGGAATCCAGTCGACCTTATCATTTAAAGAGCAATTCCTTCATTCCATTTGCAAGAGGTAGCTTAGTGTGTTTTACCCTCTCGGTTCCGAGTAATGTTGGCACCTTACGGAGAGTGCGCGTGTGGCATGACAACTCTGGTGAAAGCCCTTCTTGGTATCTAAACACAATCAAGATTTATGACGCGTTCAGTCAGGAGCTTAAGACTTTTACCTGTCACAAGTGGTTAGCTGTTGAGAAGGGAGACGGATTAATAGATCGCACTCTTGCTGCTGATTCAACTGCCGGGAAGCGAAAGAATTTATGGGAATCTTGCCGGAATACGGTGGCCGGAAAACTCGGTGATGGGCATCTGTGGTTTTCTGTCGCAACCAGACCACCAAGTAGACGCTTCACTCGCGTGCAGCGTTTGTCGTGCTGCCTGTCACTTCTGTTGACCACAATGTTGGCCAGTGCCATGTTTTATCAGTTTGTGCCTGGGCACGTTCAGCAACAGCGCACATTTAGGTTGGGCCCTCTGGTCCTAAATTTGCGACAACTAATTATTGCATTGGAGAGCATTGTTGTAGTTTTGCCCGTAAATTTGATAATAGTAGGAATATTCAGTCACGTGGCGACTAATGTCGACACACCAGGGCAACTTCAACAAAGATACAAGGTTAGAGAAAGGTTTAGCATCCACAAGGTTACTGAGAAACATCGATACCGAAGAGGCCTTCGCATGACTCTACCGTATTGCTTTGTTTACTTAGCCTGGTTTCTGTGTTTCATCTCGTCAGCTGCATCAGCAACTTTTATTATTCTATATAGTTTACATTGGAGTAGAGAGACAAGCGAGGAATGGCTTATCTCCATTGTCATGTCCTTGTTTGTAGAAATATTTCTTTTAGAACCGGTAAAGATCGTCGTCGTGGCTTTATTTTTGTCGTTCTTTTGTCAGTTGGATGCTGATGAACTTGCTCAAACTCCCAGGACGGTCGTACATTTTGATGAAGTTACCTTTGCCGACGGCCAAAAGGAAGATGAAAACGACGAAAAAATTGCCTCACCAAAGCCCCTGAGCAAGAAAGAATTGCACCGTGCGAGGATCTATCGAATGCGAGAACTGCGTATGTACAAGGCGATACAGAAGATAGTCTGCTATTTTCTATACCTTTTGGTACTGATGATCATGTGTTATGGAGGTCGGAGTCGGTACAGTTATTCTCTGAAATTTTCACTAGAGCAAAAATTTGGAGAAGTGAATGAGGTATGTTCAAGCCTCCCTTCATTTATCTACTGTACTATTGAGAGCATGCTTGCATTTTCAATTTTAAGGCGAAATGTGGTAAAAATTGAATCGCTGTCAACCTATAGTAGGGACCTTAAGCAGTCAGGACGGCAACGCCGAGGAAAACTTCGATTAAAAAATGAATTTCTGCCTTATATTAGAATTTCAAAAATGGCTGCATTTGTTTACCGTCTCATACGGTGCCACACCTCAACTTCAGCATAACGTATAAAAGAAGCGTTGAGTTCCAAATGGAAATTAAAATAATTTGCCGTCGCGGTTTCGGTTTCGTAGACGACGCAAATTGTGGTGATTTCACGTTGTTGTTTTGCATAGGACGGCTAAGAAATGTACAAAGTTTCGAAACGCACGTGCTGAGCTATTGTTCTGCCAATTAGATCTTTTGTTTTTCCACATCCTCGTTGCAGTCGCTGTCGTGGTTTGCTTAAGGTCCCTAGTATCTTTGTGTTGACTACCAGGAAGGGAATGAGTTCATAATAACTGTACACTGAACTGATTGATTTTCTTTGAATTTCCAGTTATGTAGATTGTTTTTTTTTAACACTGCATTACTTCGTTAGATCTTGACTCTCGAGAACATGTGGCAGTGGCTTCAAGACGTTTTGTTACCCGGAATTTACCAGGACGGTGAGGACTTGGCTTTTTCAAATTCTACTACGTTCACTGGAGAAGGTGATGTAGTCCTCGTTGGGATGCCCCGCCTTAGACAGCTGAGAGTGAAGAAAGGTGCAAATACATATATGTGTATTATATTTCAGCAGGATGACTGGCAGTAAAATGCTGTAAACCGTTAAAGATTTACTTTTTGACTTTTACTTTCTTTTAGATTCATGTCATGTCGTTAAGGAAGCGAAATCTCTATTCAACTCTTGCATCGCGTCATATTCACTAGAAGCTGAAGATAAAACGGATTTATATCGGCCAGGATGGCTTCCACTTTTATCGTCACTGAATTCATCAACTGAAACATTGAACAAGGTCTGCCCCAAGCCTTGGCGTTATTCCACAGCAGAGCAAACCAAAAGCTTTCCCTTTTGGGGAAGACTTTATCCTCTTTATAGTCAGGGTGGTTACCTAGCAGAGCTAGGCTACGACAGAAAGTCTGCCACGAAAGTCATTTCTGAGCTGAACATGTTAAACTGGTTTGACAAGTACACTAGTACTGTATTGATTGAATTTGTAATTTTCAACCCTCATGTTAGTCTGTTTAGTGCAGTTTGGATACCGGTGGAGTTCTCACCATCTGGCTATGTGGCTTCTGGTCACATGATTCACCCTCTTCACATGTACAACATTGGAGCTGGCTACAGTGTCGCTCATCTTGTTTGTCAGATATTGTTCCTGTTGTTTATTGTTTACTTCGTCTTCAAAGAGACCAAAGAGATGATTCAACAACCAAACCACTACTTCCGTCGATTTCTGAATTGGATTGAACTGGCTCAGATCTTTGCAGCAATTTCCTTTGCAGTCGTTCATATCTTTAAAGAGGTAGAACTCTCTGTTCACACGACTAAACTTCATGAAAATGTCTTCCAGTTTATAAGCTTTGACAGAATCGTTTTACTCGATGATATGGAGACAGCATTTTTGGCTTTATTAATGTTTTTCAACACTTTGAAGTTGCTGTATTTGCTCAGATTTAATAGTTATGTTAAACGTTTGTCTGATGTCACGAAGGCGTCTTTCCTGGAACTCGTAAACTGCTCAATAGGATTCTACGTCTTCATGTTCGCCTTTACTCATTTTGGATTCATTCAATTTGGAAGAGAGGTGGAGGAGTATTCCTCGCTCTCTAGCGCTTTCCGGTCCCTTCTCATCCAGGGAGTCTTAAGCGACGGGGCTGAATATCTCCAAGATGGTCATGATGTCATCGGTCCTACTTTCTTCATAGTTTTCAACATCTGTCTGCAAGTGATATGGGTTAACATCTTCATTTCCATTCTTATTTATAATTACCGAACCGTTACGCAGTTCTCCAGAGGAAGATTTAGCTTTGGGAAATTTATGATAAGGAAAATCAAGGAGATCCTGCATTGCATAGGAGACGGGAAACCACCTCATACCGGGCCGAGCAACAACAGGAAGAAAAGGGTGCACTGGGAAAACGAAAACGATTCTGTTGAACTGGGTAACAACAACGACGACATCGGTAGGAGCGAAAGAGCCGATGGCAAGACCCGGGGTCCTCCTTTAAAGGAGTTAGACAAGTGCGTCACCCTGATGAGTCTAAAGTTCAATGACCTCTACATTGACGAGTTTATCGAAGACATTGAGGACATCGAATTATTGAACCGGTGGACGGACACTTGTGCGAGTAGAAGGAATGTGTCTGAGAATAGGAGGGCTGGTACCCAATCAGACGAAGTTGTACAAGCATCGGAGACCCACAGAATGAATAAACACGTGAAAAGAGGGTGATATGGTTTGACAGGCGAAAAGTTGCATCAGCAGGTCATCTGATTTGTTTGAATTTACTCGGCTTTAAAGTGACTAGTTGTTTGGAGCCAGCGTTGTGAAGTAAAAACCAAATAAATGAGATTGTGTGAAACATGACTGGGAGTTCCTTAAATCTCTTAACGAAGTACTAGTTCGCAAGTTCAAGTGAAGAAGAATTTTAATGAGTTTTCAACAGCAGAAAAACAATTCTTAGAATTGTTATCTCTCCTTATTAATGATCGCATATCGAACTTTCAACGTCAAATATGTAAACGTTTTAAGACAACGGTTTCTCGCGAAACCAAACACAACGCGTGACGCTTTCATGAATAAATACGTATGTGTCCGAGAGTTAATCTTTCGTCTTATTCAAGATGTGAGCTTGGGACGCCTCTGTTCAAACTCCTTAATTGCAAGCGCAACAACAACCTCAAGAAACCTCACCCCAGCACCTCGGGGTTGTAAGATGGCATGTAAACGCGTTTTATTTTTCGACCATGGCTAGGCGGGTTACCTCACCTACCTGGAGTCACCTACCTGGAGTCCCCTACCTCCTACCTCGAAAAAGACGAAAGATTAATTATCGGACATGTATGTATTTATTCACGCGTTGTGTAACGCGGTGTTTGGTTTCGAGAGGAACCGTTGACTTAATACGTTATACGGAATAGTTTGGGAAACCAAATAAGGTCGATTTACAACGTTAAATATTCCGAAATGTGAAAATTTTACACTCCTTGTGTGTCCGTTGCGGTTTCCGGTGATTTCTGCCATGAGACGGCTGGGAAATTTACAAAGTTTTAAATCATACATGTTTCGCTTTTGAACTTTTGGCCATGAAAGCGACCCCGGCTAGGCAGGTTACCCCACCTTGACACGTTTCCCCGGCTAACAGGGTTACCGTACCTAGCAGACCGGGCAACCCATCTAGGCGGGTCACCCCACCTATCATGTAAACGTGATCAAAATAAAATAAGAAATTATATGGACAGGCGGGTTACCCCGCTTACGCGCGTTACCTCACCTACCTGGGGTCCCCCACCTACATGTTAATAGGCCCTTAATTCCATCGTTTGAGTTTACCACGGAAAAATGTGCTTTCTAATGAATAGTGCGCGCTAAAAGCCCGTGCAGTTAGACGAGCCATTCAGGGAAGAGCTCAGTAACCCACGTGTAGACACAAGTCTTAAAATAGCGCACTTTTTGGAATCCTCTGAGAGCTTGTCTAAAACTCTGTTCCTTTCATGCAACATGATCTGTGTGATCTCGGATCACAAATCCAAATCCGGATCCTCCCAAAGGAACGCACCCTTTGCCATTTTTTTTGCGTTCTTTTACGGTAGAAAACAGAGAACAAACAGACAATTTCGTGAAACGAGGGCTTCAGTGAATTTTCTCAATATTTCATGAGACCAGGACGTAAGGATTACGAGAACATTCGATTGAACAACGGTTTTCGATCATGTTCTTTCAAAATTTTATCTCAAAGGCGATCGTGGGAAATTATTTTCCGCAGGGCTTACGTGCATACGACAGACTTCTTCTGTTGGCGCCAACCTGAAGGATGAAGGGGTCAGCACAGCAACTGCACCGAACAACACACTGTTGTGTTATTATTCGGTACTTCCGAATAATAATATATTCCGAATAATAATATATTCCGAATTATAACCTCGGAGCGATATCTTCAAGTGCACACTGGGAACGAATTCTCGCAACCAGTGTTTTCTTTCATTCGCGCTCCCTTTTCAGCCACATGCGTAGATGATCTTTAAGCGACTGCTAAAACAAGGTATGTGCCTTCCTTCTTATTCCCTGCACTGCTCATGTCGTTTAGTGGTGGTATAAATGACTTGTTCTCGGGTGGCGTTTTAAACACCATGCAAGTTTCGCAATGAATTTTGCCATTACTCTTTTAAAGGATACAACCAAGATAGAAGAAGCAATGGTGCTGAGCTGTTGTTTCTCTTTCTTCTAATTAAATCCGTAAGTATTGAACAGCTTAAAGATGGTTCATATGAAAACCTGTTGCTTTTGATTGTAGTGATAACAGAGAAAACGAATGATTTTAATTGACGTCTATTTAGCATGAAGCTTACTTTAAGTAAGCAGTAAAGCTTCTTCCAAGTTTGCGAGACGTTTGTAAGCGAACGATGAGTTTCAAATAAAGATGCATGGACTCTCATGTATCTGTCTTTTTTTTTTTCAATTATCTTTAGTTATCAAGACAATAAATTTGTGCTTATTTAATCCATTAAATAAATAAACTAATTCAACTTCTTTGAAGCTTGTAACAGAAAACTTACAACACCTTATAGCGGAAAGTTTAAAAATTTAGTCAAGTGGAATATTTATTTCGAATTTGGTATTGTAGTCAAAAACTTGTAATGGAAGGAGAGTTTGTGGAGCTGCATACAAATTTAGAGAAAGCTGTTGTCACGCAACATACCTTGTCACTCGTCATTGAATCAATGGCGATCTGTAAGTATGGGTGGGGCAAGTTGGTAAAATAGATTTTGTTCAATTTTTTGACGTTAGGATGCTTAACAAAACTGATGATTTTTAAAGGATATTTTTTGTTGGCTGTCACTGTTATTTAGAATTTCCACCAAAAGCTTTTAAGATCTTTTTGATATAGAGTCAACAAACGGGAAAGGTTTACCACTATAGTGTACAAAGATATAGAGAACTACTGAACAACACCGTGCTGTTTGAAAAACAAAGCATTTAATAGCTATGATTCTTAAAGCCAACTTGGCTTTGAGTTTGCTCATTTTTAGGGAAAATGTGAATAAAATTAAACTGGAATAAGCTGAGAAATCAAAGCCGCCAGTACCAAATTTGCTGGATGTCACGCAAGGCCACTTTACTGGAATTAAAAATTGAAAATAAATTAGATAAAGTATTTTGTTTATAAATCTTTTCAAAAATGCCACTCTCATGGAAAATCTACTTAAAGAATGCTCTCTGCCAATGAGAAGCACAAGTAGCACAAGAAATCAAAAATAGAAAAAAATTTGGAATAAAGTTACAAGTACTGGGAAACCGTTTACAAGTTTATCGAGCGAGGACAGTGGATGGCGGACGGTGGAAAACAGAAACAACATCAGAGATGAATTATTTAAAACTAGGTCACCATAAGACGAAATATCTTCGGGATTACTGCCAGAAATCAGTCTGAAAAAGCTCGGAAAGTTTGTATACATAGACAGATGCAGAATTAAATACTTGAGTGTGTGGAGTATAAAATTTGGAACACTTAAACAATTTTCGAGCCTTTCCGAACTTTTCCAACAAATTTCTATCAGTGATGCGAAGATGTTTCTGCTTATAATGACGTAATTTTTGATACTGTATTTTTGATTTTAATTTTGTTGTTCCGTCCACTATTCGCAGTCCGCCGTTTGCAGTCCGCCGTTCCCATCTTCGTTTTACGGAATCCCCTTGATTTTTGACACGTTAACATTTTTCAACATATTGCGTTAGGAGTAACTCCTGTCAACTCTAAAGACTATGTATATCTGCTTTTAGCTTGTGTTGTGGTAATCCGTGTACAAAGTAATTTTTAAGTAAGTACTGACTGAGTAAGAACCACGCTCTTTTAACTTTGCTTTGAACTCAAAAGCGTTTTTCCTTGGTTAAATTGTTAATGCGTGTTGGCGTAACATAAACTTACGGACATCTTAGTGTAACTGAAGGTCACTAAAAAAATAACATGCATATTACAACTTTACACTATTAATAGGATAATTGCTTTACAAATATCAAATAATCTTAATGATTTAACTTTGTTTACAAAGTTGTTAAAGAAATATTTTAAACTTGAACCTTGCTCAATGTTTACCATCTTCCGCTCAGATGCGGCGGATTCCAGTCAAGGTCTCCTGGAGTTTCTGAATATACCCAACGGCCTCTCTGATTGTCTGTAATTTTGTCGTCCTCCTTTGATCCTTTAGGGACGGAATGATCTCTTTCAGTTTCTTGTATGCAGTTTGTTCTGCTTCCGTCCTCATTCTATCTTTGTCAGAATTTCTTTTCCTAGGTTTTTTCGCAGCAGCTCTCTTGTCCGTGTCTGGAACAATTCTTGTTTCACTCGCCATTTTCAAAGTGTGAACCTCTCTATTCATGTATACAAAATCTGGATTTATACCAGGCATACCTTCTCTTTCGTAGAGAAAGTCTCTATTTTCTGTACAAACAAGGTCGTATGCTTGGGTCTCCATATTGCAATCTGTAAAATCGTAGCGAACAGAATTAGAGTTGAGTCTTACGGAATATTTTCAACGCAGAACTAGCTATGAGATCGAACATAAAGCTAGTGATTGATAACTGTTGATCCAGTGTCAGCCTATGGTCGATTTTCATCTTACCTGAAGTACAAAAGTACGTTTGAATGGACTTAAATTGAATGTGTTTTTCACAGACTGAACGAAACTGCTAGCAACACCACGTGTTCGCCAAGGTCATAGGTGTCATACAACTGTCAATCAAAATATTTAATTAGTAAAAAACCCGGACGCTGGGTGCACTGTGGTTGTTTTTCTTGAAAAGAAAATCTCATATGTTGTTACTAATCAGCAAGTTCACGCTATTGCTGTTAGTTTATTCTTTAAACTGGAAGGAAAAGTAAAGCCCAGGACACAATCTACCGTACCGTTGCTTGGGGAGCTCCTTCTTGTCCAATTCATCCACGGAAAATGAAACGCGCAAGTTTCATCAACAAATAAAATGCGTCTGGTGCTATGTAGAGTGAAGACTTAGCAGCAGTTTGTCTTACAGCTGAATTTTTAGCCGTTCTGTTTCTTCTCTCCTTCTTTTATTTTGCGATCTTCCTGTAAATATAACTTAAATCACCCTGTCATTAGAGGACAGCTCCTAACATGAGTCGATTGCGACATCGCGACGCCGAGATACACTTTAGCTGTTTTACATAGACATCAACCCCAGAGGATCAAGAGAAGATTACATGATTAAGCTTTGAT